GGTTCTGATGGAGGTTTCTTCCTGTTAAAAGGGAGTTTTCCCTCTCCACTGTCGCTACAAATATGCTTGGTGTGAGGGATTGCCTTGGAGTCAGTGAGTCGATGCAATCAACTGGTTTTCCTTAAATAGAAAACTTTGAACCAATCTGACTGGATGATCTGGTTGAATTGTCTCTGTAAAGTTCCTGGAGATTATATATGTTGTGATTTGATGCTCTATAAATAAACTGCATTTAATTGATTTGATAACCTGCCTGCTGATTTAAAATACACTTAAATCATTTGTAGGCTTCCCATATCATTGTTACGCCTTTCTGCAGGCCACCCTTACCACAAGCATTGAAATATTGTACACAATTATTTATAGATGGCAATGTCTATTAGAGACATAGATACAGATACATGTTAAAACGAGTGCACTAACTCTTTATTTTGTGTCAATATTGTATTTATTGGTCAAAACGCCTTAAGGGGTTGGAAGATTGTCATAGTAGTAACATAAAACATTTTAAATGTACTACTTCTGCAAAACGAAATTATCAGGTAACCTGAGGAAGTTCAAAGTCGGTGTGCAGTTTGCTAATTGACATTTTACCAAATATTTCTGGTGTGTTTTGTTCTGATTGTGTGTAGGTTTAAGAAACTTCACAGCAATTTCAAGATGGTCTGAGCAGTATACGTAGTTCATCGATACTAAAAAAACAATCTGATCTGTGTCTGACAAAGGTTAACAAAACCAACTACTTTCTCTATCCCTAGCATAAAAGAAGGTTCTGCTCGATATTCAGCAGACTTTGCAGCTAAAATTCTAAGGTTGGATTCTGGTAGACAAGGGTCAGTTACAGTTATACAGATTGCCAGGTTTGAAAATACATCATTTGGTATCCTTCTAGTACATCAGAGTCATCATTTCACCTTGTGTTTCCCATAACACAAAGTTTTATTTATTGTATAAAGAATATTTTTTTATGGAACTGGTTATGACATCATTTTCAATGAATCAACTCGGTTAGAAGACAGTCTAATATGATGTTTTTTATTGATAATTACATGGAAATACATTAATTTGTTAAATACATTCTTATTCAGTAGTGGAATAGAAAAAAAAAATCTTTTTTTGAGAATGAAAATCTGAATGACTTCTCTGATGAGTTTGAAAACTTCCTCTGTTCATAAACCTCTTGTTCCAGGATTGCAGAGATAAGCCAATACCATGATAAACACGGCTGCACTATTGCTGCATCTGGTTTATATTCTAATACTGAATCTGTGCTGCTGCAATAGAAATAGGGGAGAACTTGAGATAGCTTGAGGTAATCTGTATGAAGTATGGGGTATATTCATCCCAAGCACCAAATAATCCTACCTGTTTTAAATATAGAATAGATAACTGCTGGTGTGATGGTATTCTGGGGAAGATGATAGACGGTGAAATGGAGTCAAAATGAATGGGCCCTTAGTTGAACAGACCTAAATTCATTCCACGGACCCAGTGGAATAGAGTTATCTGAATCAACTGTCCTCCATAGCTGCCTGAGGGATATTGAAGACAGCTAAGGTCAAATTACAGGGGAAGTCAGCTTGTGTGAGTCTGTGGTGAAATTACCTTAAGAGTTTACCGGAGCCTGACAGTCAGCCAGTCTGCTACGTGACAATCTGCAAAGAAATGAGCCAGGTTGTTAAAGAAATAGATGGAAATAATCATATTTTGAGGAAAAGCTAATGTATTTACTAAAATGCTATCAAATATCACAAAAAAAAAAAAAAAAAAAATGTTACAAAAAAGGTTTTGCCAAGTGTGACTCAGCATTGGCATGGCTATGAATTTCTTCCAAATCAATACCCCGACACTAGGAATTAAAAGTAAATACAGCGACTGACAGCTGCTAATTTTCTCTGGGAAATTGTCTCTACTCATCCACATAGTTACAAAGATTAAATGACCATGGATCTCTCCAGACACTCCCAGGTCCTCTAAAGAGACTGAACTTAAGGTGTAAATTAGTTACACATCTTTGCTCATTAAAGAATCAAGAGCAGCAAATCCACTAGGTCGCTCCAGTTCTGCTATACATGATGGAGATCCATTTGGGGAACATCACTCATTATTATGGTAATGTATATCATTAAGGCTTCATGGTGAAATTAAAACAATTACACTCCTTAGTGGGTCATAGCCAAGAAAATCATGTGGGAGAGAGATGGTTTCCAACAATGAGCCAAGGGTGAAATGTTTCCAGGTACTTACTGATTGAACTAGTTTAACCATTTTATTTAAGAAGTACTATCTGTCTGATTTACAAATTGTTGACCACAATGAAAAGGTGTTCATATACTTTTAACTTCTGTACAATTTTCCCCCACCTAAACCATGAACCTCCTTCATTTGGTTTTAGTGAGATAAACCAAGCAAATACATGTCTAGAAAAAAAGATGAGAAATCTAAAAACTGGTTTCTCCATTAGTATTCAGTCACTGTCAGTTAGTACTTTGTAGAAGTACCTTTAACTAAAACTACAACTGTGAGTCTTTTGGTATTCTGTGCATTTACAGACGGCTTTATCGCCCATCCTAATGTGCAAACATACTCATGCCATCTTCCCATGAACTCTGGTGGGGTTTGATTCTTAGATAAACAAAGCTATCTCTGGAAGATATAGGGGAAATAATCTATTCAGAGTTCAATATATTGTTATTTTTATGGCTCGGAGTCGGAAAAAAAGAAACAAAAAAAATTAATTTCAGTCGAATATAAACAAAACCATCTTTCCTGCATGTCGTCTGCGCTCGCACATGGTACTGTGGTTTAATCTAAACAGAGCCTAATGTGTTTTTCTTTAGCAGTGACTTTTTTTTTCTTCTGACTATTCAATGCAGCAAGAGTGTTAACACATGTTGTGTTGACAGATACTCCAAACTGTGCTGTAGAGCTCTACAGCTCATCCAGTGAAGCATAGATCTCTTGGCTACTTCTCTTCCCAATGCTCTCCTGCTGCAGCCTGTCAGTGTAGATGGATGGCCATGCCTTAGTGGGTTTTTAATTTTTCCATACTACTTTTCTTTTTAAGTAATGGATTGAACAGTTTTCTGTAAAATATTAAAAGCCGAGGTCAGTGTTTTATATCTTAAGCCTACTTTCAATTTTTAAGGCATGTTTTATCCAACTATTCAAGTTCCTAACCTTTGATGATTTAAAAAAAAATAATAATAATTTTCATCTAACAAAAAAATTATTCAGGGATAAAGATGTCCTAATCCATTGTTTTTGTTTTGTTTTGTGTTTTTGGCTCATTAAGCAACAACATGGAGTTGGGTAAAATAAGAAATAAACTAACAATGAGAGGGACACCAGTGTCATCTTTGAAGATGGTAGACATACGAAAGAATTCTACTGAGGAAATTGTTAGATTAAAAACATATTGTCAACTTTTTAGGGTGTCACTATTTGCCCTTTTGTCATAGTAAAAATCTACGGAAGAGGATTAGGGCCACTGAAAAAAAAAAAGTTTACTGATTTTTAAATTTTATTTCAGTTTAACATGGAAAAAAAGTCAGATTTCTGACTTTTTTCTCAGAATTTTGACTTTAATCTCAGAATTCTGAGTTTTTTCTCAGAATTCTGACTTTTTCATTGTCAGAAAAGTCAGAATTCCGAGAAAAAACTCAGAATTGTGAGAAAAAGTCCGAATTGTGAGATGAAAGTCAGAATTCTGAGATTAAAGTCAGAATTCTGACTTTTTTCCCATACTAAACTGAAATAACATTAAAAAAACAGTTAACTTTTTTTTCCCCCACTGGCCCTAATCCTCTTCCGTAAAAAATCGCCTCTAGGAAATTGAAAGAGAAATTATTTCACATAAACTGGCGAATAGACCATGTTCAGCACCGTGGACAGCTCCGACCCGCCTGTGAATTCTGAACGGACATTGAAATATATACGCAGTGGGATGATGAGCGCCATATGAGCCTGCTGAGCCCTTAGACGTTTTTGAGTGATTTGATACATTTTCTTTCCGTCAGTTGACAGGTGACCTGAAGTCACCACAGTCATTGTATTCACAATATTTGTTTCCGGTCCTTGATTTCATTAGGTCTTTCATTGCTGCACAAAAAAAAAAAAAAAAAAAAAAAAAAAAAGCATCATCCAAAGCTCTTCATAATCAGCTTAATGGTAATAATTTTGGATGTCCTCCAAGCACACAGCCTGGAATCTACCTTTCATGAAAAAGTCAGTGTAAGCAAGAAACGCTCAGTGTTTCGGATACAATTCCATCACAACACTTTCCTTGGCCCTAACGGCACATTAATTAACATTGTAAAGTAGTTCTTTGCGAACCACTAAAAAGCAACAGCTTCGCCCCCTGACCTGTAAGCCATCCTACATTCTCTGATGCTGATTTTGGTCAACACTATCTAAAATGAAATAATGTGCCTGGTTAAAGCGCTGATCCAAGCCGCTATAATATGTAGTGTCATGCTCATTATGAAAATGCCAACCTCCATTCGTTCTATCAGTGGCAATATCTCTGCAGCATGATGATTTAAACCGAGCTGCCTTTGGAGTGCCACTTAATGACTCACGGTGCATGCATAGGCATGATCGGTGAGGATTGCACGTTATGCCCAACACCGTTTTTGTCCTCAAACTAATGTGACAGCTCAAACACAAAAGGATGTTGAAATGATCTCTGGGGGATGGGTGCTTTTTCGGATGCAAAAAAAAAAAAAAAAAAAAAAAAAAAAAAAAGCTGCTCAGGAAGGGGAAAATCTTTTGTTTTGTTTTATTTATTTATTTTGAATTGCTCAATTTCTTAGAAGCAACTGCAACATTGAAAGTGGCATTTGAAACTTAAAGTCAATGCCATTTTCCTCGCAGGTCAGCGTTTCAGCCAACTTGAAGGATGGAAATGAATGTTCACAAAAGCGATTATTATTCTAGCCACGTCGCCTACCTCTGTCCACCCTCCTTTGGCAGCTATTACAGAGAGCTACTTGTGTTTTAAACATGTGACAAAGTGAGAGAGGGGCGCAGGGGGGGAGAGCCGAGGAGCTCATGCCTGCTCTGCTGACAGTTCCTAAGATCCGGACTGCGCTCCTCCACACGGCGATGCGGAGAAGGAAGGGGGGGTCAAGCAGCAAAATACGCGGCGTTCAGACAGAATCCACAGCGGAATATTTAGCAGTTTGCTTCGGGTTTGCGTCTCTTCCCACGTCCTTACATCCCATTCCCTTTGTCCGACGCTGGACCCTGCTGATGCCTGGCTGGAAAAACAGCACCTAGAGGTCCCTCTCATCTAATCGTCAGTGACTTTCCGCTCCTGGTTGCACCCCTCCCCTCTGCTAGTCGTCTTTTCTCTTGACTTCATTTCGTGCTGGACGATTTCATTTTGTGGTCATTATCCCCAGAAAGGTCAAAGCCTCTGTTTGCTGGAAGCTCGTTTTGGTCTGGGATAAGCCTGAGAGTCTCCCTTCTTTTTTAAAGTTTCAGTGGCCAAGAACCGCTCATGCTGCTCCGTGTTGCATCCTTTTTTGGTGACCTGCACGTGCGCTAGACTTTTTATTTTTCATTTTTTTAAGAGGGTTTTTATAGTTATTATAATCTCCATTCTTCTCTGTGGAGTGGCTGTTCTACCTTATCAAACTGTGAAATGAGTTTCGCCACCTTTCTGCTTGCTGATAGCGCTGAGATTCTGCAAAAGAATGGGGCATATTGAATTCAACTTTAGGTGTTCTTCCAAACCTTGGTAAGTAGCTGAAACTGTGCTTCTTTATATTAAGTGTATGTTATTGTCTTAACTATGTATGTGTCGGTGTTTGCTGCTCAATTTACTGGAGTTTAACCTTATGCACATGGCTGTTACTGTGTTCCTCCTCGCAACGTCTCTATAATGCTCTACATATTTATTCCACTACAGTCTCACACATGTGCGCAAACTTATGTTTTCAAAGGTTTTTAGACATGAACACCCACATAGTTTCCTTTTTTTATACAAGAACATTCTTTTTCTTTCTCTCTTTCTTTTCCACCCCTTCTTTCCCTCATCAACATACCAGCTTTTATCTGTCTTTCCAAGAAACACCTCTAATCTATATTACTTAGGGTGTATTGGCATTTTCCACCTGAAGAGGATAAGATCTCCAGCACTGATGCGTGGACAGAACTGAGTTGGCACAGCATCCACAAGGAAAAGAAACTAGCTTTCTGAAATAAATGTAAAGAAAATATAAATACATTTTCCCACCGATTTGATAAATATACATTTATATCTTAAGCATCCTTCTCAAAATATGAGTCAGAGTAGCCTCATGAGATTATCAGTGGAGACTGTGATAGAGAGCCAAAAAGCCCTCCAAGAAAGCAAATAGGATTTTTAAATGTCATAATAATGACAGCAGTAGTTTGGGTTCAGGATTGTTTTAGTATTTTAACTTGTCTTCATATACAGCGCATATTTTGAGAACACTCTATATTGATGCTGTAGAAAAGTGGTTTGTTTTTGTTTTTGTAAAGCTTCATAACATAAAAAAAAATGCAGCAGCTTTTATTGCCATTTGCTGTGTTTGTACCAGACTGCCAAAGTCTGGTCTTCTGTTCTGAAGTGTCCCTTATCCATCCCTGGAGACCAGTGAACCTGACCGCATCCAGGCCTGAAAGGCAAACTGTCTCCTCCACTGTTGAAACAAATGTCTCTCGTATGTGTCAGTCAACAAGACCATAAAATAAAGATGTAAACTGGTCCGCACATGGCTTGATTATCTATATTCCAACTCTTAAGATGTACGCGTGGGCTGCATATTTTTTCTTTTCTAGAATTTTGTGCCAGTTTTTTTGTTTACCAGGGAGATAAATACAAGACTATCTGTTTTTGAAGTTAACATACTGTACATATAAGAGTAGATAAACTAAACTGCCAAGCTTTTTTTTTTTTTTTTTGCATGAAAACTGTGACTGAGTCAGGAAGCATGTAGAGGCTTTCAGATTAATGCTAAAGGCAGGAATTACATGCCTGAGAGGGCTCCTTGTCCTTACAGCTCAGTGTTGGGAGGCTGATAGAGCTGAATGCAGCATCATTTGTACGCTTGATGGCTGGCAAAAGAAGGAAGAAATGGAATAAAACAAAAAAAGAGCTTTGGCAGCCTTCTCCCACATTGTAAGCAAGCATTTCCAAATAATGCACTGCAAGAGGGTTCTCTTGCAGCTTATTTTGGATAGACAGGTCAATATGTTTTCATCTTCAGCGCTGTGAATAACAGCCCCTACTGAACGCTTTGAATTAAAGTTAATCATGACTGATGTCTAATTGTAGGTGGGAGTTAGAAGCCTGAGGTAAAAACAAAGCTTAAAATAGAATTTAAAGGTGGTGAATGGGAAGGAGTCATAAAAGCTTTGGGGTTGGGGTTGCATTTTAGGGTCAAGGTTTTTTTAAGTTAATGCCCAGCGTCCACAGTCCATTACATCATTAATGAGCAAGCTAAGTATTTAACTTCATTTATTTATTTAACTTTATTCTAAAATTGAAAAGACAAGAAGGAAAGCGAGGTAAGAAGAAAATCTCATAGAAGTTTTTGAGATAGACCAAGCTTTTCAATAGATTATTTCTTATTATGAAGAGCTGGGGTAGAATCTCTCTTTCTAAAGCAACTGGTAATTGATTGTAGAGAAATATTTTGGAGATTGAAAGAAAACAAACAACAGTGTTTTACAGCAGTTTAACATTTGTATTTTCCTTAATATATTTAGGTAATTCTCCACAGTTTGAACATACACCATACCAAAGAATCAAAGATGGGGTTATTTTGTTATTCATATCTGATGGTGTCTGGTGGTCAGTGGACTGTAGCAGAGAATAACACAAGCAAAACAGAGAAGCAAGAAAAGAGCAGAGAAAACTGAATCAGTCACTGTAATTTAAGATGAACCTTTGTCCCTGTTTGCACAAGGCCACTACTAGAAGAGATCAATTTGGGATTCACTGTGATTTATAGAAGTGTCAATGTCTGTATGCTCTCTGCTTCTCAGTGATATGCAGCTATAAAACAAGCCTGCAAGTGAGAAGTTGCACTCGGAGTGACAATTATTAAAAACAACCTTTTTCCTCTGACTATAGCTTTTCAGTACCTTAGCCTTGAGACTTACAACACATTTTCAGAGATAAACAATGAATTTTAACTTGCTAAAATCTAACAAATAGAGAGTTCTCAGTGAGATCACATAGAACAAAGTTGAAATAACTAAGAGATGAAAAAACTCACCAACACTTCTGTCTGTGTAGATATAATTAGTTTGTTTTGCTATATTCAAAAAAATGTTTTGCTTTGAGTGCTTTGCAAACTAGTTTGAGAAGGTAAGAGGTAATTTTCAAGTGTGTTTTTATAGAATGAATAAAAAAAAACTGCTGCACTTCCATGTAAGGTTCGTAGTTTTTCTTCTGATCTCTATTTCATGTGAAAATAGCTTTTATTCTTTCATTTTTTACATTTGAACCATGTTTCTTTGTTGGCCGGAGAGCAGTCTGCTGTCAAGTTTCTAGCTCTTAAAAGGGAATTCTGACATTTTCAAGATCAGATTTGATTTTTTTTTTCAAAAAGGAAGGGTGTTATGCTCCTTAAACACAATGACACACTGTGCCACAGCAGAGTTGCACAGTGGATTTCAGAAAATTACGCTCGCCTTTGGGTTTTCTGCTCTCCGACTCCATGTCTTATGCAGAACCAAGGATAGAAGTAGCAGCCACATAAACGAAGAACGCATGACATTTGCTTTTACTTCACCCTGATCTTGGTGCCACAGTCACACTCAAGATTAAATACTTGAGTGTGCTGTTTCGTTCACTTCCTAATATTTCAACAGGACAAGTTTATCCAATTAGTTTATATACAAATAACCATTTGCATCCTTTTGAAGCATTTGAATTCAGTAATTAAAGCTTTGTTATTGCTTTAAGTGGCACAATTCTAATCTGTTCGTTCTGTATTGTGGCAGCCAGGCTGACTGTTTATTTTTGTCTTAATGTGGCTCATTGTATCCTCTAATCCAGCTCTAGGTGTTCAGTGTTGGGTGGGGGGACTCTAGGACCTCCTCTTTGAGTCTAGTTGTGCCTTTTTTTGGTGAAATCATCAATAGCACTTAAAGGGGTATGACCAGAGTTGTTAACTTTCTAAGATTTGAGCGTTTTTTTCTTGTTTAGTTTTTTCTAAGTTATTTGTGTTTTTATCTGACTTCCAGATATTTTGTTCTATATTTTAACAATATAATGGCAATTTAGTAAAGTGCAGATTTGCAATTATCTGCATTTCTTTTAATGAATACATCTGTTTAATTGTTTAGCAAATATAGCAAATAAGCGGTATAGTACATCCCGGTCCTCCTCATCTATCAGAATGTGGTAAAAGACCATTTAAGCGACTTGTCATAGACTGTGTCTTTAATTTTAAAGAGATGATCCAAAACGCTAAAATAAGCAGGATTTGCCTCGATGAAAATGCCTTGTCAGAGATCAAATGAGAAATGCCGTACTGGATTGTGTTTGCAGAAAGGCAACTCTTATAAAAAAAAAAAAAAAAAAAAGTCTCTTTCGAGCAAGAAGTTGTGGAACACAAGCTCATATGATTTCAAACCTATCTTGGCTGACATTTACACAGGTTTACCAAATATTGATATTAAGATGTCAAAAGAGTGTTGACTTAAGCTTGGACGATACAAATTGGCAGTGATTCAATAAAGCATTCTTGATATATTGTCATAGAAACAAATTTGAAAAGCCTTTGAAGATTAAAACATACTTGTATTGTCCGTCATTTTAATTTTTGATTGAATAAAAAAACAGATTCTGTCCTAATTAAGCTCAAATAAAGATGATAAAACTCAGACTTGATCATTCCATTTGCTTAACCTCAACAGACTTTAACTTATTATTATTATTATTTAGCGAGTTTGTTGTATTTTTCAACCACATTCTTTTTTTTCTTTTTTTTATATTTTTTGGATGAATTTAGTTTTGTGTTTTTCATCAATTCAATAGAAAATAGGATAGGGGATAAGCTTTGTTGTTTCTAATACCTCTGATATATGTTGACCTTGCTTTTTATTTCAATGGTGTTAACGCAGAGGAAAAATAACTCCCCCAAATCCAGTTTCTACATGTTTATACTGTACTATAGCATACACAGTTTGATCATGTAATAAGCCAGCTTTAATCAGGTTTTATGAATTTGTTGCTAAATACAGTAAGGACACATTAGAGGTTTGGCTATTGCATATCATTAGGGCTGCAACTAAATTGTTTGTTTGCTAATTGGTTCATTTGTTGACTATTCAAAATAACAGATTAGAGAAGGAATAGCACAAGTTGTTTTTTATTTCTGCAGAATCTGACCAGGTTAAAATATTCATCTTGATTAATCAATATCTCTTTCTAATATGTTACTGCCTATGTGTACCATTGTTAATCAGTTCTATCTTTTAAGACACTAGTATAACCAATAATGATTTCATCGTTATCTAATGCCGCTCAATGCATTTTATTTTCTTACCTACAGGGAACATGTTGTGGTTGACAAATTGAAATGTGTGGAGTACACCGGTCCCTTCCAAAAAAAAAAAAAAAAAAGTCTATTGTCCATCCTAATGCAAAATGTGTTTCGGACTCTTTGGAATTTTGTAAAATTGCAAGAAAAAAAGATGTTACTAGATTTCAATTCTTATAGTTCATTTTGGACGCACAACCTCAAAAGCAGTAAAAAA